TCTTCTGAGGGAAGCCATCCGCTCCTCGTTCTTTTCGGCGAGTGTCGGTTCGACGCCCTCTGGCGCCGCTGTGGCCAGACCTGTTAATGTGCAGCCCCTGGGATTTGAGATTCAGCACCGGCGCTGGCAGATCCGTTGATTAACTGGCCGAATGGCGCAAACCCGCTGGATCCCGCTGAAATCGAAGAACACTTGCATGCACAGAAACTTTTGGAGCTTCGCGCGGGTCTCTTCGATCGGCTCTGGGCCCGTCCCTTTGGCGCGCGGAGCGCGCCAGGGGCCGCCCCGGAGACGCCGCCAAAGGCGCCCAGCGCCGATTCAAGGAGTCCCTGCGGAGCTCCAGCAGTTTGTCTTTCTGCCGTGTTCCGTTCCTCCATCAACGGTTCTTGCGAAGGTCTCTATCAAGAGTTGCTCCCCGAGCCTGGGCCCCTCCGGCCTGCAGGCGGCGCGGGAGGCGGCCGCGCTGCAGGAGCTGGAGAAGCGCGAGGCCGCGATGCTGCAGCGGCTGCAGCACTCGCACCTCGTAGGCAGGTGCAGGCTGGAGGACGCGCCTCCTCCCCTGGCGCAAAGCAGGATGAGGAGGAGGACGACGACGACGACGAGCGCTTGGTCGCCTCGGCGGTGCCGCCGCCGCCATCGTCGTCGTCGTCGTCGCCGCAGACTTCGTCGTCGTTGTCGTCGCCGCAGACTTCGTCGTCGTCGTCGTCGCCGCCGCTGACGTCGAAGTGGTCGTCGTCGCCGTCGTCGTCGTCGTCGTCGTTTCCGTCTTCGTCGTTCTCATGAGCTGGGGGGCGCCTTCGGGTAGTGGGACCCAAGATGTACGCAGAGGAGCAGGCAGAACCATGTTGTTGACGCTTCGCGAATCCCCACCAGCCCATCCAGAAACGATGCCCATAGGAATTGCCTCGATCAGGGAAGTGGGCAGCACGCAGAGGAAGCCATTATGAGACGTCTTGGGATATCTTGAGCCATCTTGGAGGTCATTTTGGGCTCTCCCAGGTGCTCTTAGAGTCGTCTGAATCAGTGTTCCCCCCCAAGAGGACAACATATGGCTAAAACCTTCGTAAAATCAATCGGCATTCTCGCCGAGGCCTCTTGGAGCATCTTGTGTGCCTCGGGGTCTCTTGGGGCCTCTTGGGGGTCTCTTGGGCGCCTGCTGGGGGCCTTTGGGGGGCCTCTGGGGGCCATCTTGGGGCCATCTTGGGACCTCTTGGGGCCTCCTGGGCGCTTCTTGGGCCATCTTGGGGGAGATCGATCAAACAAGAGGGGAGCGTCAATCAGGGTCCCCCCCATCAGGAGGCCAAAATGGCGCCACAACCCTATGAACACCAATGATTTTGGCTTCCTCGCCGAGGCCGTTTTGGACGCCCTGACGACTCGCGACCCCCCCCCTCCTGGTCCATGGGGAGGGGGTAGGGGGAGGGGTAAACCCCTCCCCGAAGGGGAAGAAGGAGGAGTGGAAGAGGAAACTCCCTAAACCACCGACGCCCAGAGGGCTGGTGGGACTCACGCCCTTTCAATTTTTGTATTTGACTTTTTGGTGGGTCCCGAGGGGCCCTCGCCGCCGCGGTATCCTGGTCAGAACGAACCCTGGGAGAGGTGTGGCAATTAGCGTACGCCTTTGGGTCGGCAGCAGGACCCACGTACACACACACCCAAACGCGTGTGTGTGTGTGTGTGTGTGTGTGTGTGTGTGTGTGTGAGTGGGTGGGTGAGTGAGTGAGTGAGTGATACAGATGTCATGGCCTTCGGCCCATCCCGACACCGTGCCTGGGTTTTAGGTTGGAGTTCTCAGGGATGCTTCTTTGGGTCTCTTCGGAGCGCTCTCGGGCGCCTTCTGGGGACAGATTTGTGGCCTCTTTGGGGGCCTCTCGGGGCCATGCCGGGGCCTCTTGGGGCCTCTTAGGGGGCCTCTAATTGGCTGTAATCTGGGATTGCTCCACTCCACTTCGATTCTCATTCGATTCCAATAGGTGTCAAACTGAAGTCAGTTGGATCTGGGATCTGCTCAATTCTACGTAATCAGATTGTAATCAGATTTCAATCAGAATCTATCTGGAAACAGCTGGACATGTGGTCTGCTCAGTTCTAATTAGATTCTTTATTCGACCTCACTAGGAATCCCAGTTGGACTCAGCTGGATCTGGGGTGTGCACATTTGCAGCTACGCTCTAATTCACTTTCGATTATCCTTAATGAAAATGAGATGGCTGTGTAAACAGCCCCCCTCTCACTCTGTCTCTGTCTCTATCTCTGTCTCTTTCGTTTTTTGTTGTCTCTCTCTCTCTCTCTCTGTATATATCTGTATATATTCATGTATCTTCCACCCAGGCACCCAACTCCTGTGAATACACGGATTATGATGCTACGGGTGTGGAACGCTTGCGCTTTTATTTGGATTATTGAGATTTCTGGGATGAGAAGCTCGGAAACCATATGTTTTCAGTTTTTTATTTTAATTGGGGGGATTTCTGCGTTGCCCCCCCCTCCAGCGACCATTCAACCCGCGAGCTCTCCCAGAAGCTCGAATCCCCAGAATCCCAGGCATCCCAAGACTTCAGTGAAAACACATTGCTTCCTCACTTCTCATCCCAGAGTTTCTCACTTCTCAATCCCAGAGCTCCTGGCAAGGTTCGTGTGTTTGTTTCTCGCTGGAGGAAGGGACTACCACGTCTCGAACATCGAACTGAGAACAACTCGTTCCCTCACTTCTCATCCCAGAATTCTTAAACATCCAAATGCAGACACAGGGTTTCCACTCTCTGACATCGCAATCCTTTTGTCTTCACAGGGATTATGGTGGATGCATGGGCTATATCGAGAATCTCTATCTATTGTTATTTATATTTATATATATATATATAGAGAGAGAGCGAGAAAGAACGAGCGAGAGAGACCAACAGAGAAATAGACAGACATACCGAGAGAGAGAGAGATGGACCGAGAGAGAGATAGAGAACGTGAGAGAGATAGAGAGAGACATCACGAGAGAGAAACAGAGTGAGGCCAGAGACAGGGGGAGAGAGAGAGAGAGAGAGAATACACGAGAGGGAGCGAGCGAGAAAGAGAGAGAGAGAGTGGAAGAGAGAGAGAGATATAACGAGACCGACAGAGACAGAGAGAACAATAGAGAGAGAGAGTCACAGCGCTGCTTGGCTTCCGGAGCGCGGAGATGCTGCTTAGCGCGACGTAAGCAGCCAAGCAGCAAGGCAGCTCAACACCCAAACCCACCAGCGCGACCAGCGCGACTACCACCGCGACCACCACGACCTTTGCGACCCCAGCCACCGCGACCACGACCCACGCCCACGCCCACGCCCACGACCGCCCCCCGCCCCCGCCCCCCGCCCCCGCGACCACGCCCGCAACCACGCCCACGACCACGCCCACGACCACGCCCATGACGGCCCATGACCACGCCCACGGCCACGCCCACGGCCTCGCCAACGACCACGCCCACGACCGCCCTTGCCCCCCACGCGGCTGGCCCCCACACATCCGCCCACGCCCCAGCCCCTTCCTTCCCTCTCCTTCCCTCTCCCTGACCCTGCTTGGCCGCCCCTACACCTCACTTCTTCCTCCTTTCTCCTCCCCTTCTATTCTGGCACTGCTGTCCCGCGCGCCCTGACGTGGTTTGGCACCAGGGGACCGCCGCCAGCCGACCCTGCCCGGGCCTGGTTGTCCCCTGGGTGCCGGGACTTCCCTTCCTCCCCCTCCCCCCCACGAGAGGGACAGAGAGGTAGAGAGAGAGGAGAGAGAGAGAGAGAGAAACAAAAAGAGAGAGAGAGAGAGAGAGAACGAGAGAGAGAGAGAGAACGAGACAGGGACAGAAAAAGAGAGAGAGAGAGAGGGAGACAACGCACAAGCAATAGCAATAGAGATAACGACAGAGGGGGAGAGAGAGGGAGAGAGAGAGAGAGAGAGAGAGACAGAGAGAGAGAGAGAAGAAGAGAGAGAGAGAGAGAGAAAGACGAGGCGGAGGAGGAGAGGAAGAGCCCCACCGTCGTAAGTCAATTTCTGTTGGTAAGAATTGGTCTGGGGGGGGACTGTCCATATATTTATGTATGTATGTATATATATATATGTATGTATGTTTACATCGATGTATATAAACATGTGTAGGTATATCTATATATATACCCGTGCTTCGGGCCCGCGCCCCCCCCACCTCCCAGATGGGATTGGTCTCAGTGTCTTCGGCCCCCCCAAGGATATGGGGGGACGACGACGACGGCCACCACGACTACGGCGACGCAGACACCTTACGCCCGGGCTTTCAACCTGTGCGTTTTTGACTTCACAGGGAGAGGCCAGCGATGACAGATTAATTAGCTTTTCCCTTCCGTCAGGTGTAGCAGTTTTACGTCATGCCTGGGAAGGCGATGCATGCGCCGATGCCGTTGCCGATGCAGACGCTGACGATGTCGTCGTCGTCCTCCTCGTCTTCCTCCTCCTCCTCCTCCTCCCCCTCCTCCTACTTAGGAGGGCCCGACCACCACCACCACCACCACCACCACCACGACTACCCACCACCACCACCACCACCACCACCATCACCCACCACCACCACCACCACCACTTCTTCCACCACCACACCACCACCACCATCACCACAACCACAGCCACCACCACCACCACCACCACCGCCACCACCACCACCACCACCACGACCACTACCACCACCACCACCACCACCGCCACCCTCCACCCCACACCCACAGAGGGGAGGGGAGGGCAGGACCCCAGACCCAACACCGCAACTTCCCACAGGGGAAGACCCCACCACACGACGCCAACAGGGGGGGGGGGGGGGGCATCGCGCGGGGGGGGGGGGGGGGGGGATGGCATCAGCATGAGGGGTAAGGGGCCATACCCTGAACCACATATGTATTTGTTCACATCTATGCATCTACAGATGCATCTATGTGTGTACACACACCCATATATGTATACCCATAGATATACCTGTACAGTTGTGTGCATGTGTGTACGTGTTAGCGAGCCTGGACACGACGAAGTGTGCGTTGTGGCAATCTATGTCGTTCAATATACACTGGGAATTATATGTGATGCAATCTGGTGCAATATATGTTGCGCAATCTATGTGGTACAACGTGTGTGGTGCAATCGGCGTGGTGCAATCTATGTGGTGCAATATTCATTGTGCACTCTGGCGTGTGCAGTTTTTGTGGAGCACTTGATGTTTCAGGTTACCCTCACATCTTTTCCCGTCGGCTCATCCTTGGCCGCTTTCGCTGGCCGCGCCCCGCGCGCAAAGTGTCGACATGGCCTTCCAAGGCCCTTGCATCCTTATTGTGAGTCATGATTGTACGGTTACTTTTATGTGTTGCAGTCTCGGTGGTGCAATCCATGTTGTGCAATACATTCATATGTATATATGTATTTTTTATGTATTTATGTTGCAACCTACGTGGTGTGCAATTTCTTTGGTGCGCAGCCTATGTGTTGCAATCGGCCTGGTGCAATCTGTGTTGTGAAATATAGGTTGTGCAAACTGTGTGGTGCAATCTAAGTAGTGCAATCGACGTGGTACAATCTAGGTGGTTGAATCGACGTGGTGCACTCTATGCAGTGCAATCGCTGTGGTGTAATCTATGTTGTGCAATCTAGGCCGCGACGGGGCGGCGACGAGGCGGCGACGGCGAGCACGGAGCCGCCAGACCGCCAGCCATGTCCAGACGACCGGCGGCAACGAGGCGGCGACGGGGCAGCGACGGCGAGCACGGAACCGCCAGACCGCCAGCCAGGCCCAGTTCCTCAGAATGGACGTCGGAACCCCTAAATGCAGGCACTGTTTCGGGAATGTGCATGCACATACACATAGACGCATTCACGTCTGTGTATGCGCGTCCGCGTGTGTGTGTGTGTGTGCGTGTATGTGAAAGTGTAAGTGTACATGTGATCAAGTCTTGGTATTTTCGCGCCTGTCGAGATTCGCCGCCGCCCTCCTCCCTCCATCGCCCTCCCGCGACAGCGAAGCGACGACGACGAGCATGGCAATTGTGACGCGTCCCGACGGCGACGGGCGCCCGACGGCGACGCTGTCCGACGACGGCGGTGTCCGACGACGACGACAACGACGACGACGACGACCACGACCACGACGCTGGGGCGGGCGCGCCCAGCGGGCCGCTGGCAGGAAATGGAGTCGTCCCTGTTGCGACCTCCCGCGTGCTGGCAGGAGGAGACCGGCGGCGCTGCTGGCGAGGCGCGCGCTCAGGGCGGGGCTCCTGAATTGTCGACCGGGCTTCAGTCGGGCAAGTCCCTCTACAGGAGGAATGTTCAAGAATAGTCACAAACATAGTCAGGGACGATTTATCGACTAATTTTGGTCACTTTGGATCTTTTATCATCCCTTTTCCACCTCCTCCTTCCTCCCCCTTCCCACCTTCCTCCCTCCTCCCTCCTCACTCCGCTACCCCCCGCACGCGACTGTGTGTGTGTGTGTGGCGGGGGCGGAGGGAGTCAGGGAGGAAGCTGCGATGAGGAGGAGGAGGAGGATGATGAAAACGGGGGGGTGGGAAATGGGCTTGGGTCGCTGCTGGGACGCGGAAGAGCTGGTCGCCGGTTTCCTCGCGATGTTCGTGGTGTTTTCTCTGGAGTTTGTGCGAGCGTGCAGACTCTTGGCACGCTGGGGATAAGGATTGGACTCATCGTGCTGAAGAGGGAGGAGGATGAGGAGGAGGAGGAGAGGGAGGATGACATCCAGGTGAGAGACGCGCAGTCCCGCCCGACTGCTGCGTGCTGCGCTCTCTGGAGGCAGGGCGGCGTGGAGGATTGAGCTGCGCTCCGGGTGCGTGCGAAGAAGCGACGGAGGCCACAGAGGGTCAGGGGACGACGGTGAGTTTCTAGGGGTAGTCAGGTTGCCACGGGAGGTCCAGGAAGGATCCAGTTTGAGGAGGTGGGAGTACAAGATGGCGGAGGCAAGGGCGAGGGCGACGTTTCTGCGTCGTGTACGGCGGGGTGTCGGGTGGCAGGGCTTGCGTGGCTTGTGCGGTCTTCTCGGGGCAGGGGGGCGTTCGACTTCTGCTGCTATCCCTCCTCATTAACATCACCACAGTATCTTTCTCTGTCTCCGCACTCCTTCTCCTGCTTCTCCCCAAAAGCGGGGAAAGGATGTTGAAGATGATGACGATGCTGATGATGGTGATGCTGATGCTGCTGCTGATGTTGCTGATGCTGTTGATGGTGATGATGATGATGATGATGATGATCATGATGATCATGCTGATCATGCTGATCATGATGATCATGGTGATAATGATGATCATGATGATCATGATGATGCTGATGATGATGATGATACTGATGATGAAGATGATGATGATGATGATGATGATAATGGTGATGATGATGATGATGATGATGATGGTGGTGGTGGTGGTGGTGGTGATGATGATGATACCGACGGCCCTGATGACGACGACGACGGTGATTGTAATGCTGATGATGTGATGATTGAGGTGGCAATGAGGGTGGTACAGTCAAAGCGCCTAGTAAGGATGGAGCAACTTTCCAAGGTTACCATTGCATCCTTGCCCCTTCGGCCTACCCCGTTTGGAAAACGTCGTCAATCTGGCCCCCCAAGGCTCTTGCATCCTTGTTCTGCGTTTGGACTGTAACGTCGACGGCGATGACGGTGGTGGTGGTGGTGACCGTGGCGGTGTTTGCGATGTTGGTGATGATACGGGCGATGATGATGGCCCTTGCATGTCTCAGAAGAAAGAGGGCCAGGTTGCCGGCTTCGCCGCCTTGTGGTGGCCCCGTGGCCGCCCGTCGCAGCTCCTCGTCTTGGCCTGGTTGCCGGTCCGCCGCCTCGTCATCGTCATCATCACCGTCCTCGTCATTGCCATCGTCATCGTCACCATCATCACCATCATCATCATCATCATCATCATTATCATCATCGTCATTGTCATCGTCATTGTCATCGTCATCGTCATCGTCATCACCACCGTCCTCGTCATTGTCATCGTCATCATCATCACCATCATCACCATCATCATCATCGTCATCGTCATTGTCACCGTCATCGTCATCGTCATCACCACCATAATCATCGTCACGATCGTGAACGATATCACGATCATGATCATGGTCAGGATCAGGTTCAGGATCATCATCGTCATCATTCTGACTTAATTGTCAATTGTATTGCTGGCAGAGTCTCTTACGGACTCTCTTTCCGTCGACAGTCATGGGCGCCATCATCGTTCCCTTGGGTAGAAAAATCACCATCATTACGTCACAATCGCGTCATCACACCATCATTATCAGAGTCACATCATGGGCGATGATGGCCGACAACGACCAGGGACGACCGACGACGCCGACGACGGCGATGCCGACGGCGACAACTGCAGCGACGCTGGCGACGGCGACGACGCCGATGACGGCGTCTTTTCCCTGCGGGAGGTACCCCCTTGAATGACGAGAGCTGGGCGGTCCTGTCACTTAGAAGAGACACCATGTCTAGGGTTTAGGGTTTCGGGTTCAGGGTCCACTAGCCTCTATTCGAAGCCCGCTGGACGTATCCCACCCACCCATGACCCATTACATACAGAATTCAATGCGTCGAGGACGTCAGTGCGATGCGTCACGCGCAGTACTTTCGCAGCGCCTCACCCCGATGCAGCGGCGATGCGGCATGGGATCGAAGCGACCAGTTGGTAGCTCCCCACAGCAAGTTGCCGACGCACTGGCGACGAACGCCTGCGCCGCGCCTGAGCGGGGACGCCTAGGAAACGCCTGGCGAGCGCCTGGCGAGCGCCTGGGGCACAAACGCGCGCAGGCGTGTTTGGGTTAGTATTTCTGGATCGAGATCGCACGAGTTGGGAGGAGCCTAAGTGCTCCGCGAGGTATTTGTTGCAAGGGATTCGGGCCGCATGCGTGGAAAACCGTATTCGTTGCAAGGGATTCCGGCCGCGTGGGAACAACGCCGTATTCCTAACAAGGGAAAGTGGGAGGCGCCGGAGGGTCGGCATAAGGGGAGTCCGTGAGGGATCTCAGGGGTTGAATCTTTATAGGCTTTCAGCTCTTAGGGTTAGGGTAAGGATCCACCCTCGAGTCGTCTAGCTCAAAGAGACGCAAAGTGGTAGGATGATGCAGTTCCATTCTAGCGATCGCCCCGTTTTGGAGCACACTTGCCAGCCGTCAGCACGGGTGGCGCGCCACCTCAGATCCATGTCGTGCAATTTCCAGAGTGTTTGGGACTGCGCCGCGCCGGACATACCTCTTCCGACAGCGCATTTGTTTCGCGGCGTGGTCCCCCCTGAGATCCGACGCTGCAAAAGATGCAGCATCGTAGGAACTCGCTCCCAGAACCTTACAGTGGGGTCAGGCCAAGAAACATTCAGTTTGCCTCCAGGGTGCCCTGTTTTTTTGGGGGTTTCGATAGTTTTGCGATTGAAACAAAACGCTCCCACGCCAAAATCAATGGACTCCTTGGGGTCTCAGGGCCAGGTTTCTTGTGGAAGCGTTTTTTGTGGAATGGCCTCCACTGTAGACCCTATCTCTCTGCGCCATTTTCCTAGCCGGATCGATCTGTGCGGGTCCTGGCGCCCGAGACTGGGCGAAACGCCGTTTGTGACAAAATTGTAACGCCAGGGTCTCAGGGGAACCACCTTCCCTCGAGGCGGCTCGACTCGCTCTGGGGGGCCGGCGGCTTGTGATCCCGAGGGGCCAGGGGACGGCGGGCCTCCAAAGGCCGAGGACGTAGAGGGCCGGCCGTTCCTTGTTCTTCACCAACACACAGCAAAACAATACATTTCTTAGTTGTATATAGGTGTATGTGTTAATATGTATACATATGTATGTCTGTATGTATTTCTGTCTGTATGCATGTATGTATGTGTATATATATATATATATAGAAATTCTTTACGCTTCGCGTATCCCCACCAGCCCATCTCACAGCAGCAACTCTTGCGAAGCATGCCGACAGTCGTGTTTTTCAGGCGTGTGTCCGCTTGGCCCCGCATATCTCCCCTGTTCCTCCTTCCTCCCGCCTCCTTGTACATCCTCCTTGTGGGGGGAGCGGGAGAAGGACGAGGCGGAGGAGGAGGGAGAGAAAGCGCTCCTCGTGGTTTGAGTCGTTTGGGGTTTCTCGTCCTGGTGTGAGTCGTTCGGGCCCTTCTTCCTGGTGTGAGTCGTTCGGGCTCTTCGTGGTGTGAGTCGTTCGGGCTCTTCGTCCTGGTGTGAGTCGTTCGGGCTTCTCGTGGTGTGAGTTGTTCGGGCCCCTCATCCTGGTGTGAGTCGTTCGGGCCCCTCCTCCTGGTGTGACTCGTTCGGGCTCCTCGTGGTGTGAGTCGTTCGGGGCCCGCGTCGTGGTGTGAGTCGTTCGGGCTCCTCGTGGTGTGAGTCGTTCGGGCGCCTCGTCCTGGTGTGAGTCGTTCGGGCCCCTCCTTGTGGTGTGAGTCGTTCGGGCTCTTCGTGGTGTGAGTCGTTCGGGCCCCTCGTCCTGGTGTGAGTCGTTCGGGCTCCTCGTGGGGCCTCTTGGGGGCCTCTTGGAGCCTCTTGGGGCCTCTTGGGGGCCTCTTGGGGGCCTCTTGGGGGCCTCTTGGGGCCTCTGGGGGCCTCTTGGGGGGGGCCTCTTGGGGGCCTCTTGGGGGCCTCTTGGGGGCCTCTTGGGGGCCTCTTGGAGGCCTCTTGGGAGGCTCCTGGGGGCCTCTTGGGGCCATCTTGGGGCCTCTTGCGACCTCCTCAGAAGCGCAAAGGAGCGCTGTCCCTTGAGAAGGACAAAATGAGCCCAAAACCTTCGTAAAATCAATGATTTTGCTATGAAGGAAGATGAGCGCGGCCCCCTCAGGAGGCCAAAATGGGGCCAAAACCGTAGTACAATCAATGATTTTGGCTTCAAAGAAGAGGAGAGGGACCTATCTCCGCCCCCCCGTCGGGGCCAGAATCCTCGTGAGGGTCGTCGTTTTTTAGCCCTCCCAGGAGTCGGAAAAGACCCCTCCAACGACCCGCGGCCCCCCCTCTCCAGGCCCAGGGGGAGGGGGTAGGGGGAGGGGTGCACCCCTCCCCGAAGGGGAAGAAGGGGGGTTGAGGACAGAGCGGGCTCTCTAAACCACTCACGCCCAAAGGGCTGGTGGGATTTCGCGACTCCTGGATCCCAAGCCATGCTCCGGAGCAGCCAGCTTTCAGATGGGGTTTGCCGTGAAGGGGGGTGCGGACTCATGTGGATGTGGATGTCGTGGCCGGGGTCTTAAGTGATCTGATTATTAATCGCTTCGCTTATGCCGCCGGCCCTGGAGCCCTCTTTAGGGCCTCTTGGGGGCCTCTTGGGGACCTCTTGGGAGTCTCTTGGGGCTCCTTGGCGGCGTTTTGGAGGCCCCCAGGGCCTCTTGGGGGGCTCTTGGGGGTAGTCGATTGCGGCTCCCCCCTCGGAGGCCACGATCCTCGTGAGGGGTGTCGAAAAATACCCTCCCCTGGAGTGGTCTGGTGGCTTCTCCCGGGCTTCTCTCGGGACCTTGCCGGGGTACTTTTCGTCCGGGGGCCCCCAGGGGCCGCTCCGCGCGCGCGAACTAGAAATATTGTTAACAAGTTACCGGAGATCTTAGCACGCCTCTGGCCCGTTGGGCCGGCGAATTTTGTTTGGTTTCTTCTTGTGACTGTGATTGCCATTATGTCTTCCATCCTTTGTTTAACAAGTCTTCTTAAAGGAGGCCCCTGGGCACATGCTGTCCCAATCTACTTTCGCATGATTACCAGAAACAGTTTAGACTACCAAGAAGCTGCTGGAACTGGACGGCTTTCACGTGTCGGGCCCCGGGAGACGGAACTCGTCCAGCATTTCCCTCGCGTGGTCGGTAGACGCTGCTTCCATATTGTTCTGCGCGGTCGAGATGGTTTTGGGACTCGCTCTTCAAGTATGATGGGAACAACATACTGAACCCTCGCCCCCCCTCCTCCTCCTCCTCCTCCTCCTCCTCCTCCTCCTCCTCCTCCTCGTCCGTCTCTCCTCCTCCTCATCCTGCTCCTCCTCCTCCTCCTCCGCCTGCTCCTCCCCCTCGACCTCCTGTTCCTCCTCCTCTTCGTCCTCCTCCTCGTCCTCCTCCTCCTTCTCTCCCCCTCCCCCTCCTGTTCCTCCTCTCTCCTCCTCCTCTCCTCCTCCTCCTCCTCCTCCTCCTCCTTCTCCTCCTCCTCCTCCTCCTCCTCCTACTCCTCCTCCTCCTCCTCCTCCTCCTCCTCCTCCTCCTCCTCCTCCTCGCACTTGCTTCGGGCCATTGGGTGTGCGTATCGCGGTCGGCGTCGAGGCTCTGCCGCCCTCTCCGCGCCTTCCTCCGAGGGCAACCCCCTCGCGCGCACGCCCCGTGGGGTGCGTTTGGCCATGCAGCCGCTGGGCGGCTCCCGCGCCCGGGCGGGCACGAGCTGGGGATTGGCCGCCGCGCTGGCGGGCGCGGCCGCCCGGTGTCCTCCTTGTCCTCCTTCTTCTCCTCCTCCTCCTCCTCGTGCTCCTCCTCCTCCCCTTCCTTCTCCTCCTCCTCCTTCTCTTCCTCCTCTTCCTCCTCCCCCTCTTCCTCCTTCTCCTTCTCATTTTCCTCCTCCTCCTCTTCCGTTTCCTCCTCCTCGTCGTCTTTCCTCCTGTCCTCCTTCTCCCCCTCCTTTTCCTCCTCCTCCTCTTCTCTCCTCCTCTCCTCATCCTCCTCCTCCTTTTACTCCTCTCCTCCTCCTCCTCCTCCTCCTCCTCCTCCTCCTCCTCCTCCTTCTCCTACTCCTCCTCCTCCTCCTCCTCCTCCTCCTCCTCCTCCTTCTCCTGCTCCCTCCTCTCTCCTCCTCCTCGTCCTCCTCCTCCTCCTCCTCCTTTTTCCCTCCTGCCTCCTCCCTCCTCTCTCCCTCCCTCCCGCTCGGCGAGGTGCCTTGTCCTCCCGGCGGGCCCGGCGCGGCTCCGCCCTGCGCCGCGCCGGGCCGCGGTGGCTTGCGGCTACGACCGGGGGCGCGCGTGGGGCGGCGGCGGCACCAGTCGGCGGAGGCCACGTACGAACCCTGCCCCTCTAGACTCTAGGCCTCCTAGAGTTAAGGCCTGCGTGTCCCTCTACAGGAAGAATGCTCAAAAGTAGTTACAACATGGTCGGGAACGTTTTTTTCTTTGAGCATTTTCTCAATATGTTTGAATATGTTTGGTGTACTTGTTATGTTTCGTACAACATGCGCCTGTAGGGGGACACGCCCGACATCACTGTAGGCCTCCTAGATTTGTGGACGACGATCAATGGAAAGGGCGCATGTTACCAAATGATTTCCAGATGTCTAGAACATGTTTCCAGCATGTCTTTAACATGTACTGAACATGTTTTCAAACATGTGAAGAACACATGTGAAGCATTTTGAACAAATTCGTAGTTCAATTATAGGATTCGTAGGGTGTCAAATCCACCAGCCTAGATGGGGTCGGAGCAGATGGGGTCGGCGAACCGCTTCGCATCGCCGATGCATCGGTGATGCGGCTGGATGTGCAGCCCGATTTTCTCCGCGCCGACGTCGCCGATGCATCGCCGGCCGACGTCGCCGCTGCATCGGCGACACATCGCCGATGTGTCGCCGATGCGGCGCGATCCTTTGACCCCAGGCTGCTCGGGCCCTGCCCAGGAGGCCTCTCACTCCACCGCCCCAGGAGTCCTTCGGGGGGGAAGCTGGGGCTCGCTCCTCTCGGGAGGTCCCGAGCGAAGGGGGCCCCACCGCCCCCCTCAAGAGAGTCGTCGGGCGGTGGGGCAGGGTGCGCACGGGGCCTCCAGCGTTGATGGCGCGCGCAAGGGGGGGGTACAGTGCGGGTGCGCATTAGGAAACCACGTTGAAGTCGGGCGTGTCCCTCTACAGGCGGAATATTCAATAATAACAAAGAAAAAGTGGTCTGGTGACGACGTTTCGTGCTCTTCATGATTTGACTATCCTTGACATTTTTGTGACTGTTTTCCATTTTCTTCCATTACCCGCCTGTAGGAGGACATGCCCGACCTCAAACCAGAATGTTGCTTTTCGTCAGGGAACCCTGGGTTTCTTCGCTCCGCGCGCTGCGCTGTGACTTCCCGCGGCCGTCGAAGAAGCTGCTGCGTTCTGGTTGCTCCGGGTTTCCCCTCAGGTGCACCTCGCAAATGGTTTTCAAGGGTTGGGTTTCTTGCGAGGGTTTCTTGCGGCCGCGCCCGCACTCTAGGGAGGAATGGCTTCTTAGAAGGAGGCTGCTGCTTAGAAGGCGCCGGGCCCTGCATCTATGGACGAGGCCCGCGCCTTCTAAGAGGCACCCTCCTTCCAAGAGGCCTTCCTCTACCCTTACGCCGTTCTGTGCGCCGTCAAACCAGTCAGGAAACACACAATGGCATAAGCATAACAATTCGGAAGCCCGCGTGGATTCATCGCATCGGCGCCAGGGCCCCCCTGGCGGCGCCTCAGGGGGGAGGGTCAAGCGCCGATCCAAGAGATCCGTGGGGACCTCAAATATTTTATGGTTATGTCATTGCTTGTTTCCCTTATTCAAAGCGGGGCCGCAAGAGGTCGGACACACCGGCTGCAGCTCCGAGCAGAGCGTGCAGGACCTGTGGGACAGCGTCGGCAGCGGCACCAGGGCAGAGGGAGACGGAGGCAGTCCTTCTGGCGGCGGCTCCGAGCAGAGCGTGCAGGACCTGTGGGACAGCGTCGGCAGCGGCACCGGGGCTCAGGCGGAGGGAGGCAGTCTTTTTGGCGGCCGCTCCGAGCAGAGCGTGGAGGACCTGTGGGACAGCGTCGGCAGCGGCACTGGGGCAGAGGCGGAGGGAGGCAGTCCTTTTGGCGGCCGGTCCGAGCAGAGCGTGGAGGACCTTTGGGACAGTGTCGGCAGCGGCACTGGGGCAGAGGCGGAGGGAGGCAGTCCTTTTGGCGGCGGCTCTGAGCAGGGCGTCGGCAGTCCTTTTGGCACAGGCGACACCAGTGGCTGGGGCAGTGGGCCACCAGCAGCGGGGCCCAGCGGGGACTCGGGCCAGCGCCTGGTCGGCTTCTCGATGCACAAGGATTTGACCTACCAGGAGGCGCTGAGTCAGGAGCCAGGCTTCTGCGACTGGGTGATAAAAACGAGCCAGGGGCCTGACGCTCGTGGAAAGCTGGTGGACTTTGCCCAGTGGCTGCAGGAGCCAGGCGTTCCGTCCGTTGGCGGCGGCGCCCCCGTCCATGGCATCGACTTGAGGCCTACAGGCGACACCAGTGGCTGGGGCAGTGGGCCACCAGCAGCGGGGCCCAGCGGGGACTCGGGCCAGCGCCTGGTCGGCTTCTCGATGCACAAGGATTTGACCTACCAGGAGGCGCTGAGTCAGGAGCCAGGCTTCTGCGACTGGGTGATAAAAACGAGCCAGGGGCCTGACGCTCGTGGAAAGCTGGTGGACTTTGCCCAGTGGCTGCAGGAGCAAGGCGTTCCGTCCGTTGGCGGCGGCGCCCCCGTCCATGGCATCGACTTGAGGCCTATAGGCGACACCAGTGGCTGGGGCAGTGGGCCACCAGCAGCGGGGCCCAGCGGGGACTCGGGCCAGCGCCTGGTCGGCTTCTCGATGCACAAGGATTTGACCTACCAGGAGGCGCTGAGTCAGGAGCCAGGCTTCTGCGACTGGGTGATAAAAACGAGCCAGGGGCCTGACGCTCGTGGAAAGCTGGTGGACTTTGCCCAGTGGCTGCAGGAGCAAGGCGTTCCGTCCGTTGGCGGCGGCGCCCCCGTCCATGGCATCGACTTGAGGCCTACAGGCGACACCAGTGGCTGGGGCAGTGGGCCACCAGCAGCGGGGCCCAGCGGGGACTCGGGCCAGCGCCTGGTCGGCTTCTCGATGCACAAGGATTTGACCTACCAGGAGGCGCTGAGTCAGGAGCCAGGCTTCTGCGACTGGGTGATAAAAACGAGCCAGGGGCCTGACGCTCGTGGAAAGCTGGTGGACTTTGCCCAGTGGCTGCAGGAGCAAGGCGTTCCGTCCGTTGGCGGCGGCGCCCCCGTCCATGGCATCGGCTTGAGGCCTATAGGCGACACCAGTGGCTGGGGCAGTGGGCCACCAGCAGCGGGGCCCAGCGGGGACTCGGGCCAGCGCCTGGTCGGCTTCTCGATGCACAAGGATTTGACCTACCAGGAGGCGCTGAGTCAGGAGCCAGGCTTCTGCGACTGGGTGATAAAAACGAGCCAGGGGCCTGACGCTCGTGGAAAGCTGGTGGACTTTGCCCAGTGGCTGCAGGAGCAGGGCATCGATCCGCTCGCCTGACTTCTAGCTTGCCTTTGTCGCAACCGTAATCCAAATGCGCGGTCGGCCACGAAGGGGGGCTGGCAGAACTGCCGCGGCCACGCTTTCTCTGACTCCAGATGCGCCGATCGTCATTTATAGTCTCTCTGGCGGCGATCGGGGCTGCATCGCATTTGCAGGGCTGCCACGAGCCCTGAGATCAGTCCCTGCGTATCCGTTCCCTTTTTTCACCGCCCACCGAACCACCCCAATCCAACCCGAAGGTCCCGATTTGCCCTCCATTTCCAGGGGGGGCGGAGTGGTCGGGGAGCATTGGAAACACATGAAGTCCGTCTCCACCCAAACCCGAGATTCGGGTCTTCGGGTTGGGTTGGGGTGGTCTGGCAGGTAGTCACTCATTACTCCCTCTCCCCTTCCTCCTCAGCTCCTCCCCCTCCCTCGCTCCCGCTTCGACCTGGGCACCCGCCGGAGGCCTGTGCGGCAGGGCTCCGGGGGGGTGCGCAAGACTCTGTGCGTGCTCGGCGAGGGTGCGCCTCGGCTCTCTGCCGTGAGCCGTCGCTGCGGCCAGCACTGCAGACCCGCCCTGCTTGTCCGCAGCTCGCCTGCGGGGCCTGGGGCACACATTCGAGAGCATGATGCGCACCCGACCAAACAGTCCCGATGCAATCTTATCGTGATCGTTTTCTTATCGTTTTGCCGATCGGCGCGGGCCCTTGTCCCCCCCCTCCCCCCGTGGAGTGCACCGGGGGACCATGGCAAGAAACGCCCTACGTTTCGCCAGGGTTCCCCTGGGTTTCTTTGGCTGGCGTTCGGCGCGGAAGGGCGCCCCAATCTCGAAGACGCTGCACATGCCAGTGCACTGGGTTCTTGGGCGTCGGCCAGTTTCGGGGCGCGCGCCCGAACCTCCAAGGAACTTGCCGACATTCGGGGTAGCTTGGGTTCCTTTGCCCGCCACTCGGATTGTTCGCCCCGCGTTGCCGATCCACCCGCGTGGGTTCGCCACCCTGGCCTGAGTCAAGTGGGCGCAATGTATCTTTTCCCTCAGGGGAGAAGTCGTGGCCTTTCTGTTTGTGCAAGGCTCGCAGCTCGCATTTTCGATCGCCTCGGGTTTCTTGATGTCAAAGTGCTCAACGACATCAATCAAGAAGCCGCTCGGGCCAGGGTGCCCTGGGTTTCTTCGTTTGCAGCCGAAGTGCAAGAAACTCAACCCTGGACCAAGAAGCATCGGCGGATTTCAGGGCTGTGTTTCTTGCGGTGGGTTGCTTTTGGATCGACCCCCACTGTAGATCTGGGCTGTTGTTGGCGCATTCGAGCAGGTGGGATCTCCCCCCATAGGACGCACTGCCGCAAACAGTCGCATTAAGCAGAAGTCCAGAGCCAGACCCCCCCTTTCCGCCCAATGTCGAACCGCCGCTAAGAAAACGCTCACATCCGGATCTGTCGTCTCCAGACATCCCAGATGGGGTCCGCGAAGAGGGCGTCCGAGGATCGCGCCGCATCGCCGATGCATCGGCGATCGGCGATCCCGGTCTTGTCCACGCCGACGTCGCCGATGCCTCGCAAACGTCGCCGATGCATCGGCGATGCGGCTGGTTCCTCCGACCCCGTCCACTCGGAACCCATCTAGGAGGCTCCTATCTTCGCCCTGACCCTGTGACATTGCAGCGGCCCGCCCAGGAAGTCTCCGCCAGCCTGCGAGCGGAGAACGACTTCCTCAGGTCGGGGGCCACCTAAACGGGGCGGTGATCACGCCGCGTGGTTGAGCTGGTGGGGATTCGGGGTCACCGCGCTGATCAGGGATTCGGTCCGTTATCCATGGACGTCTCGGGCGACAGGGGCCTCCGAGGTCCCCGAACCGTGCGGTTCGATCGGCCTCACGACGTGTATTCGCCCGACGCCAGAAAATCGGGGTCGTCTGCGCCGACATCGGCGTGTAAGTTGCCCGCGCAAGTTCGCGCAGAAGTACCCTCGTCTCCAATGCGCGCGCTGGCTGCCCGCGAAAGCCGCCGCGTAAGGCCGCTCTGCGATCTCGCGTAAGACCCGTTTCTGATCGTCGCTCCCGTGTGCTTACCCCGTTGCACCGGCAGCGCCCGTGGGAGCACCGAAGCCACGGCCAAGCTGCTGCCACGGCTCCGCGGCCGCTGCTGGCCGCACTGGCCCTTTCGACACGGAACTCTCCAGCGCCGGAGTGCCCTCCTCCTCCTCCTCCCGTCCTCCGCGGCCGCCCTCCCTTTTCCTCCCCCTTGCACGCCGGCCCCTTCGCGTGTCGGCCGCCCTGGACTGCTGCCCGCTGGAACTGCTCTTCTGCCTCGCCGCCGACGTAAAGAGTGTGTGTGTGTGTGTGTGTGTCATCCCGTTCGGCTTCGCCGATCGCGCGCAGCCTGTGCCGGCCCTCGTATCACAGCGCCCGCGTCGTGCCGCAGCGCCTCGGGGGACCAGCGCGCACGCTGGCGCCAACACATCTGCTCCGAGGGCCGCCGAGCGTGGACGGACCGCGCAGTGAGGTCGTGCCTGGGGTTCCGAGGGGACCACGCGGTCCGTCTCTTACAAGCCTCGTCAAGAATACATCGAAGCGCTGTTCAACATCGAAGCGCTTGGTAGTTCGGGCACTTGTCAGACATCGCGTTCTTCAATGCTGTGAGGGTACTGCCCAGCAGTACAGTAGCGCCGACAGTGCACGCTCCGAAAACAAAAAAACCTTAATTTATGTTTGGCGAGTCTTGTAGGATGCAATTCCTGGAAGGTCAAGTTCAGCATCGGCGCTGGCACGATCTGGCACACTCCCGCTCCATCTGGTCCGGTCCCGCTTGATCGGACTCCATGCCCCGCGCAATTCGGCCAAGTGTGGCTTCATGGCCCTTAATCTGGCTCCAGCGCCGGTCCGAGGAATCCGCGCGGCCCTTTGAGTTCATATGTTTTTGTCGTTGTGTGTTTCCTTAGAAGACCTCCCAGGAGTTGCCTAGCACAGCCAACCCGCATTGTAAGGATGTGCGGCCTCCCAAGGAGGGTACCTTTGCGTCCTTCCCCTTCGCTTTCGCTGGCCGCGCCCCGATCGCAATGTGTGTCGACATGGCCCTCCAAGGCTCCTAGCATGTGATCGTTGTTTTAGGCATTTTTGCCGATCGGCGCAGGTCCTCGCCCCCCCCCGATGGAGTAGATTGTAGCTGTTTTTGGCGCCTGTTCCAAGCAGGTGGAGCCCCGACACCATAGGACGCATTGCCGCAAACGGCCGCACTCAGCAGATCGGTCCAGAGCCAGAACCCCCCCTCTCCTCCCCCCTAGGAGACGCTCACCATCCTCATCGTGCGCCCTTCTTCTAGGGGTTTACTGTAACGTCACCGCACCGTCTTGGGGGCCTCCGCACCAGGGCCGAGATCGAGCGCGTCCGCGGCCGGCTCGGCCTCGGGCCCGCCCTGCCCGGCGGCGAGCGGAACCCTCTGGCCGCCGAGCCGAAGGCCGCGCCGCAGGCCGCGACGCCGCGGTTTTTCGTCGTCGTCGTCGTTCGCGTCGTCGTCGTCGTCGTCGTCGTCGTTGTCGTCGAGGGAGGTGGAGGGAGGAGGAGGGGGAGGACGAGGAAGAGGAGGAGGATGAGTAGGAGGAGGGAAAGGATAAAGCGGAGGAGGAGGAGGAGGAGGAGGAGGAAGAGGAGGAGTCGAAGGAGGAGGAACTGGAGGAGGAGGGGGAGGAGGAGAAGCACGGGGTGGAGGAGGAGGAGGAGGATGAGAAGGAGATGGAGCAGGATGAGGAGGAGGAGGAGGGGGAGGGAGGAGGGTGTGGAGGAGGAAGAAGAGGGAGAGGAGGAGAGCGGGCGAGGGGGAGTGGAGCAGGGGGAGAGATGAGGAGGGTAGGGACGCAACCTCCTGGGTTTAGAAGCCATCCGTGATAGCTACAATAGGAGAATGAGGAAAGGACGAGGAACAAGGGAAAAGGGAATTGGAGGAGAAGGAGGAGGAGGAAAAGGAGGAGGGGGAGGAGGAGGAGGAGGAGGATCTGATGTGTCGGTATGGGCCCCAGCTTATTGTGCATCTGCTGACGTATGGCTCAAGTGAGTGTAACAACCGTCAGGTGACGATACGCACCTACGCACTCCTAGCTCACTGCAAAGAGGGCCCCGTGTTCGTCACGATCGTTCTGATAGATTTTCGCTGTGGCGGAGCGATGATCTGACAACGACCGCGGGTAGGCAGATCGATACAGACTTACGAAAGGAACGGATTCAGCGTAGTTTCGCCGATGTTCGACTCAGTTGTCCCACCGTGTATTTCCAACGTGGCTGCGAGCTCGTCAGAAGCAGGCCCGCCGGCGGCAGTGGCGAAGTACCTCGAAGAGCAATATCGTACGGGTAAGCAAGACCTGCACAAAGAGTATGAGATGTCACTGATGGGGGTGGTGGGAAGCCCCTAACGAGGTGGCCTTAAGCATTACCACGTGCGAAACGATCACGATACAGGCGCCGCGCAAGTTAAGAACTGAGTGGCCGAATTTGACAGACTCGAACCAGGGTGACAAGGGAACCCATTGCGACCCCTTTCAGATAGTTGAGAAGCTTGTCTTTTACAGCTGCAAGAGAATCCGTGAAAGGCTGAGAGCGAATCGGAGACAATCCGTTCATAGTAAAGCTCCAACGGAGCTCGGGCGCAATTCTGAGAGCGGAATGAGAGGCCAGTGCGTTCCTTTGAACAGGTAAGACGTGGGAACGGCAAAATTTTCAAACGACTAAACACGTTTAAGACATTGGGCAGAAGTGTGCCAGATCCGAGTGGGGAAGGTAATAGCATACGAGTGTTGAGCGGGGGGACGAGAGCAGCGGTGTGCTACGTGGCATCGCCAGAAAGAAAGCGCGAAGTCGAACGAGATGATGGATCCGTTTCGGGCGACGATGAGAGTATCAAGCTGGGCGGAGCCCCCCTGGTGCGTTCTCGCCGGAGATGTGGGGAAAGTTGATGCAAGGGGCGCGCTGCATGTCCTCAGTGAAGGTGGAAGACTCACCGCGCACATGGGATATCAGTTTTATTCAAGAT